TAATGAGACTGAGGCTGTAATAAAAGTCTCCCAGCAGGGAAAAGCCCAGGACTCAATGGCTTCCGTATCAGTCAGTTCTCACACTGCTATGAACAAATATCTAAGATGGCTAATTTACAAAGAAAAGAGGTTTAATTGGCTCAAGATTCCACAGGCTGTACGGAAAGCATGATACTAGCATCTGCTCAGTTTCTGAAGAGGCTCCAGGAAACTTACAGCCATTAGTGGAAGGCAAAGGAGGAGCCAGCATGTCACATGGACAGATCAAGAGAAAGTTGGTGGGGAGGTGCCACACACTTTTAAATGACCAGCTCTCTTAAGAACTCACTCATTATCATGAGAATAGCATCAAGAGGGAGATACACTCCCATTATCCATAGATGGTTACCAGATGCTGGGAAGGGTAGAGGGTGGGTGAGGGAGAAGTGGGGATGGTGAATGGGTACAAAAAATAAAAAGAATGAACAAGATCTAGTATTTGATGGCACAACAGGGTGAGTATAGTCAATAATAGTTTAATTGTACATTTAAAGATAACTAAAAGAGTATAATTAAATTTTTGTAACACAAAGAACAAACGCTTGAGGTGATAGCTACCCATTCACCCTGAGATGATTATTATACATTCCTGTATCAGAATAGTTCATGTACCCCTAAATATATACTGCTATTATGTACCTACAAAAATTAAAAAATAAAAATTTATAACTAATTTTGAATAAAATGCAACCAAACTTAGAAGACTTGTGTACCAAAAAAGTTCAACACTATTGTGGGACACTTCAAATTCATTAAAAAGTAATTCTTCATTGACTCAAACATTTCTCAAATCCAATTGACAATGGGTAGCAAGGAGAGAAAACAGTGCTGTGATGATGTGTGTTGTCTTGTATTCAACATCGGTGTTCTTAATAAAATTTTATAGGACCGTTACTCTAGCTATATAAAAATATCTAAAATTTGACAATTTGTATTTTGAATAATAAAATATCAGTTTTGGGGGCACATAGAGTGATTTGTAGCCTGCAACCAATTTTTAGGACATTTCTGCCCTATAGTTATTTTAATTTGGAAGAAAATACACTTTATTGTTTTTCACAATGTTATACTTCCATCATATTTGAATTCATATTATCACCACAAAAATAATTATTTTTCAATACTGAACTTTTAAACTGAATCTACAATACCATTTACAATAATTTCAGGTGTTTCGTGTTGCTATGGTTCGAATGTGTCCTTTCCAAAATTCAGCTTTTGTCAAGGTGATAGCAGTAAGAGGTGGGGTATTTAAGATGTGAATAGGCCATATGGGCACTTCCCTCATAATTGGGATGAAATCCCTTTTAAAAGTGGCGTCATGCAGCAATTCAGCTAGCCTGCCCTTCGGCCTTCTTGTCATGTGAGGATGCAGCAAGAAGGATTTCATCAGACACCAGATACCCACCCTGATCTTAGACTTTCCAGCCTCCAGAAATGTGAGAAATAACTCTTTGTTTTCTATAAATACCCAATTTGCAGTATTCTGCTATAGCAGCATAAATGGACTAAGACAGTTAGAAGGAATATTGTTTTTACACAACTTTATGCCCCATTCGTATTTGAATTTATATCACCACAAAATAATTAATTTTGGTGTTGAACTATTAAACTGAATTTAAAATAGCATTTATGATAACATCAGCTGTTTCTCCTTTAACCAGATGAACCACCCAAAAGCTTTACTTTTATTTTGTAAACGGGGTGAAAAGAATCCAACCATCCCATCATTGTTTGAATAACCATCCTATCTGATTTTCTATTTGAAATATCTGATAACATTGATATTAACTTGGTATTATATAAAAGCTTGGAAAATTGTTCTGCAAATAGAACTTCACTTTTATACACATACACACACACACACACACACACACACACACACACACACACACAAAACTTGGAACGGAAAAAAAGAAAAGTTGATTTGAAGCATCAGTCATTTGATCTACCTAAAGGAAAATTTCTGTTTCACTTAGTGTCTTTGTCTATTCAGGCTGCTGTAACAAAATACAATAAACTGAGTAGCTTATAAACAACAGACATTTATTTCCCCCAGTTCTGGAGGTTAGGAATCCAAGATGAAGGTGTGGGCAGATTCGGCGAGGGCCTGCTTTCTGGTTTATAGATGAAAGCTTCTGGCTCTGTCCTTACCTGGTGGAAGAGGTTTGCTGGCTTTCTGGGTTCTCTTATATAAGGCTCCTAATTCTAAGCACCTCCCATAGGCCTCATTTCCCAATACTATCACCTGGAGGTTAGGATTTTAGTGAATTTGGGTGGGAATACAAACATTCAGACCATGGCACCTACTGATATAAAAAAATACCTTTGGCAACTACTTCTGTGAAATCATCATCTTTAGGCAAAATCTTCTTAAAATAATGATTTCTCTTGAAGTAGACAGTGATGCTTGTTCAGCAGATTTCTGTCTTTTGGTTTTCATGCTACATCAAACAACCCCATGGTGGTTGGTAAATGTCAACTAACATCTTATACAAGTTATATCTAAGTTATGCATTCACTATCAACTTTCTTGGAAAATACAAATTCATTACTTTTTCATTATGTAGACATTTGAAACTTTCAAAGCTCATTGCTGACAAAAGGATTTATTTGCAAAATTAGAAGTGTTACCAAACAATAAAATAAATATGTGGTTGTAGATTTATAAGACATAATCACAGCAAGCATGAGAGAGGGTTCCATAGAGTTCAGGGCTCAGAGCCTAAGACACACATCTTTAATGGGCTTGTAGGTCCACGCAAGGCCAAGCTTCCTGTGTAGGGAGCTGCCCATACTCTCTCTTGTGCCCAAGATAGCAGCTGGATAATGGAACTGTTAAATTAAATTTGGCCTAAGGTTATCTCTGTAGTTTGAGTTCCCACTAATGAACAGCAACCTAATGTAGTATGTAAATAAACTGAAACCTAACTTAGAAGTCTATGTTTTTTGTAACAGTAGCCAGATCTCAGCCGATCACAGGCAGCCAACTGATCAGCCCATGTTTAAATAAGGCAGACTCCTGGCTGTGGCCAATTAAACTATTTCTCTACTTTCTATTTTGTCGATAAATATCTGTATATTGCAGAGCAGAGCTCTCTGCACTTCTTCTGGTTCTGAGTGTTGCCCAATTCATTGAATCATTCTTTGCTCAAATGAGCTGTTATATTTGTTTTATCTAATGTTTTCCTTTTAATGAAAATAACAACAAACACAAATAATATTTGTGATGTGTCAGGCATTTGCCCAAATGCCTTACAAATATTAACTTACCTAACCATCATCATATCCCTGAGAGGTAGATTCTTTTATTATTCCCACCTTAAAAATGAGAAAATTTGGGGCACAGAAAAGGTAAATAATATGCCCAAGGTCACGTAGCCACTAGGTTGGTGACAAAACCCATGTGTGTGAACCCAGGAGATCTGGCTCAAGACTATGTTCTTCATTACTCTGCTCTTCTGCTTCTTGAAAAATCAGTTACCATAAGAAGCGAAGTTAGAAAGCCAGAGAGGTGCCCAAGCAATTTCTACTTTGCAGTAAGGAGATCTGAGCACTGGAGCAGCATTCAAGGGGACCTTGTGGACGAACCTCCCTAGTGTCCGTCAGTGCTTGCCACTCCCATTCTTTGGTGTGTACGCCCGGGGTTTTCTGTCATAATGGGATATTCAAAGCAGTTTTGAAAAAAGTCTCCTAGCATTCCCACCCTATGCCTCTTCGATCATGTGATCGTGTAGCCACCTCTAATCCCCGCCTCCACAGACATTCTGGTGCTGCCACCTTCTTGGATTCAGTCTAGTTGCCACCATTTACACTCATGCTCCAGTTAGCTCATCTGAAAATTGGGCTTATTATAAGCCACTTCACAAGCATAGTTAATGAGGATTAAACATGCGCAAGAAACTGCTGTTCAAAGGTCAGGATAAAAGTGACTTTTCCAGAAGGAAAAGATCAGAAGAAATTGGGAAAATAGGGGAAAACAGTTTATCCTAAAATTGAGGTGTCTGACATCAGAATCAGCCTTAGACTTGGTGCTATGGGTACCACGCTTTAGAAAAGGAGTTGGCAAACTTTCTGTAAAGCACCAGAGAGTAAATAGTTTAGGCTTTGCAGGCTATCCCATCGTGGTCATACTTCTCAACTCTGCCTTTGTTGAGAGAAAGTAGCCACAGACAATATGTAAACAAACAGGGCTGTAGCTCTCTTCCAATAACATTTTATTTACAAAAATAGTCAGTGGGCTAGGTTTGATCCGCAGGCCATGGTTTGCTGACTCTCCTCTGGAGGGTTCCACTTGGGTCCTCTTCCAGCTGCACCCCTCCCCACAGGGTAAGGAGACTGTCAGGCTAGGAGCACATTCCCCTAAAGCTCACATACCTCCTCTTCTAAATCATGGTCCAGATATCCAGTATTTCTACCCAAACAGATGGAAGAACTTGTACACACTCTCAGGGCCTACACGTGACTTTTCCCTGGGCCCATCTTCATTGAGAGTGGACCACACATGCATAGCCCAGGGGCTGTGTGTGTATGTGTGTGTGTGTGTGTGTGTGTGTGTGTTGGAGGTTGAGGACAGAGGGTAGAGTGCAGATGAAGCTTGGATGCGAAGCCTACAATGTCCACAAGTATGCCCACGAGGCTTCTACTGTGAGAGACAGAGCCAATGATGGGAAGAGACAAAGATTGTTGGCTGGGAGCTGAGGACACGTGCAGTCGCATTCTGGTATGGAATTCCAAGGAGTCTGAGAATTCTAAATTTTCAGGTTCTGATCTTCAAAGTGGTTGCAAAGTTATATGTGTTAATGTTGGAGCCTAAGTCATATTTAACAGCATGTGAGCTGATTTTAATATTTAAACATCTAATATGCAGACCTTCATTTGCACCCTAGCTCTGGACCCCACAAATAATAGAGACAGGACAGCCTGATATCACAGGGTCAAGGACTGAACAAATGGGGCTATACTGGATGAACTTTTTATTGTACTTCAGGGCCACAAGTCAATAGCTGCAGGAAAACAAAGCCAGGCCCAATCCGCGATCTGAGAGGAAGTCAGGTAAGGCTTGGAAGAGAGATCCAAAGGCCAGCCTGCAAGGGGAAATCCCATGTGAGAATTCCTGGGAGAGAACAGGCCCCAGGCAGCAAGGTTACCTTGCCTGCTTCTCTGTAAGTTAATCCTGGAAACAAAAGGAAAACTATTTCAAAGCCCAACTCAGTAAACTGAGGCCTAAGTCAAATTACTAAACAATGGATACTCAGAGTTGGAAGGCTGCTACCCAACCATCTAATCAAGAGTTTTCAAATGGCTCTAGGCCCTTTGCCAGGATAGCAGAGCCAGTCCTTTTCCGTTGTCTGTCTGCAGTGAGACCCAGTGACCTGCTTCTCCACCCTCTGCACTAGAATCAGTGGATCACAGCATAGCTGGCTGGTCAGCAACAGCCTTCATCAGCACACCTAGGGAACAGAGGGCTCAGGGACGGAGCAGCAGCAAAGCCACCAACCTTCAAGGTCACAGGGAGGCTTAAGTAAAGGCATATATCAATAATGACCATGAGACCTCCCAAATATCAAGACTAAGTAATATCAACTGTGGGTGGGGAAAAAGAGCATTAGGTAATGACTGAGATTGAATTTATCATCAGTCCAGTGAATTGAGGGCATAGAGTCAGATTTATTGTGATTTAGAAAATTAAGACAGGCTGATGGTTTTGTAACAAAGAATTGTGGTGGAGTCAATGTTTATCCTTAATATACGTGTAATGAAAGTCTTTAGCTCATATTCTGCCCAATAAAGTGAGCTAAAATTTATTGATATTATTATTATTTTAAAAGTCTATGGGATGCCTATGAAAAGGGCAGAACCAGCCTAATTGCTAAGAAAACACCGCAGAAGAGGCAAAAGAGCATGAGAAAGGATTAGTCCAAATATGTGAAGATGATCTCCCCCAGTCTCCTGTGCCTGTTCTGACCAGCTCTCGGCCCACTTCCAGCCCCAGCCCAGACTGTTACCTTCATAGGGAGCCAAGGCTTCTCTTGACTGCTTGGACAAGAGGGTAAGGACCCTGGTTGCAGGATATGCCGGTGAAGTCATCCATGTCAATAGACCAGATCATGGCTCCTCCCAGGTTTAAATTCTTTAGGAACTGAACCTATGGGAGGCACAGAAGGACACACAGAGATGAGAAGACGCCCCTAACGATCCAGGACCATATCAGGTTCAGATGAGGATCTAGGCTTAGACTGCAGCAGTAGACTAGCTTATTTTCTGGAGTTAGAGACTCCTTGAGGAGTAAAATTGCTCAGAGAGAGAGTCGCCAAGTCAGCATTAGCCATCTCTCATTCTGACTCACAGAGTCACCACACTCAAGGTCCGGCATTCTTGGAGGCTAAGAAAACTCTCCATAATAAGGAAAGAAACTAGGAATCCCTTAACAAGATAAGTGGCCAGGATTGTCAGTTACACTTAAGCCTCCTTTTTGCCCTAACCGTGAGAGGAGCACAAATGTCTTTCCAAGGTCTAAGAAATGATAGGCTCGGGAATCTGGAGCCTTCTAGTTAGGCAATCCTTGAGAAGGACTGACAGTGTGTCCTGAGATAATTGACAAAGTAAATTACCTATACAGGCACCAATGTCTCCTTTATTCCCTCTCCCTGCTCCTTGCCCCTCACTTCTCTCCACTCCTTGCTTATCAGAATAAACTTACTTGTTCTCAACTATTTTTTGCATGCTTTCCAACTCTTCTACCTGTACCACAGCTGCTCACAGGTATGACATAGAGTCACTACTAGACTTGAACTATAGAGGGTGCTGGATCCCATCCTAGAGTCTGGGGCCTCAGAAACCTCTCTTTCAACATGGAGTATTCAGGCATTTTACCACATACCCCCGTTCCCTCCAACCCCCGCCCCAAAGCTGCATCTGCCCGTTCCAGAGCCTGCTGCCCCCCTACCTTGGTCTCCACGCTCTCCACGTCGTCATAGCCCACCCACTGGTTCCCCTTGACTGCGTAGGGAACTTGCTGATCCTGGAGCCTCGTGATTTTTGCTCCTTTCAGGAACTGGCAGATCTGGCAGGGGAAGGGGAAACAGAAGGGTCAGTAGTGGGTTATTCTTGAAACTTGATGAGAATAGACAGGACAGGTGAGCCACTAGAAACTTGGGGAAAATATCAGAACCTTTATCCCAAGGATCAGACAACGAGAGAAATGACCACCTATATCATACAAAGTGGGTGGCCCAAGGTGAGCCACTGTGAAGTGTCTGTGCTGAAGTCTCATCAGGAGGAGACACAGCAGCTAGAAATCAGAAAATACTTGAGTTCCAGATCAGACCCCAGCACCAACCAATACATCTTCCAACTTCTTCATTTGCAAAATGGAAATAATTACAATAATGCTTCCAACATATCTGCCTTAAAGTGTTGTTAGGATCAAATGAACTAATACACATTAAAATTTTTTTGGAACAGTAAAGTGCTCTACAAATGTGAAGTATTATCAAGATCATCACCAGTGTTCCTCACCTTGTAGTATCTCCACTTCAATTTCATTACTCCAGCTTTGTCCCCTCCCATTCCCAGTATCCCCTGTCCTGGGACTCCCCTTCTATCATTAGCTACATTCTTTCTGTTAGCATAAGGAGGAGCTCTAAAAAAGATACATCTTCAATTAAAAAATGCATTTCAGCATCATAGAAAATCCATTTTGGATTACTCTTTTTGAATGAACTGCGTTCATGCTTACTACAATGAAGGCAGAAAATGTAAGTTGAATATTTAATCAAATATCAACCTGTCAAAGTTGTAATGACCTAGATATGAACTGAACAATCGAATCAAACTTTCCATGAGATGGAAAAGTGCCTATCTACTGGTTGATTTTAAAACCCTACCAGCAGATTCTGAGCAATGACCTCTCTTCTCTCTTATTTTAAGAGTGTTATTGCTATCAACTTAAAGTACCCAAGGATGGTTCAGCCTCTCTCCCACCTCTTATCTGTCAGGCACCCTGAGATTCAATGAGGACTCTTACAATGATCCATGTCCCTTGCCTCTTGCCCATTCCTCTTGCCAGTTGAATTGATGATGTGTCAATCATTCTCATGTGTAATGTGAAGGGAAAAATTGAGCACTATACTGAATGGATATCTTGGTGGTTGTCAAGTCATTCAGCGTGGGCCCATGGCATGTCCACACCCACAATGAGAGGTCAGGCTGGGACTCCAAAGAGAGACCAGGATATAGATTAATATTTTTTTCTCTACCTGATTAAAGTTCTACTCATCCTTCAAGGCCCAGCATAAACTTCTGCTCTTCCATGGAGCCGTCCCTGGTCACCCATCTCTGATCTCATGTCACTCTACACCATGTATTGATCATTTAATCCCATATTGTTTTGCCATTGCCTCTGTGACTTTATTAAATGTTACAGTTATCTTGTTTTTGAACTTTTGTTTAACTAGTTATATTTGTATTCTACATTATTTCTACCTTGACAATAACCCCTTTAGAGAGAAGGATGGATAATTTCTTATTTCTAGCTTTCAAAGTACCCAGTGTTTGGGGTATGGGAGTGTCCAAAGAGTTTCTGTTGGCTGACTTATTGTTAGATTTCTATCTTCCCCTGTGCTTTTAAAATAAATGTTCCTAGATTGGAGGGCAGAGAGAAATGATGGCATAATTAGCTGAATACTTTTGTTATCCCCGTGATCTGTCTGACTTCTGTACAGAATTTGACACATTTGGCCACTTCCTCCTTTTGAAACACTGGCTTCTCTAAGGTCTTCCGCACAGAACTGTGTGGATTCTTCCCATCCCTCTTGTAGTTCCCTGTCAGTTACCTTAATAGTCATCCCTCCCTCTGCACATCCCCCGGGTGCAGGAAGTCCTTGGGTTTGTCTTGGGCCCCTTTCACTTCCCACTGTATGGTTTGGCTTCAGGTACCATCTTTATGCTGATATTTTTGAGTCTATCTGTCTGATGCAGACTGGCCTGCTGTGATACAAGTCCATCGATTCAATGACTCACTTGTTATCTGTATGTCCCACAGGCTCCTCACACTCAGAATGTCCAAGACTGATCTCATGAGCAGGCCCAGTTTCCACTCTGTCCTCCCTCCAGTCTTCCCTATCTCTGTAAATGGCATTGCCAGCCATTTAGCTGCTCAAATCAAGAACTTGGGGTGGTCTTCCTTTTCAGTTTTGCATACCCTCCTTCTACCTATCCCCATTCCTGGCTAGCTCCATCTTCTCTTCAGAGTTCAGCTTGTTTCACTTCCCCCAGGAAGCATTCCCTGACCCTCTCCCAAGCCAGAGTTAGGAGCTCCTCTCACACGTTCAGTACTCTGCACTTTCTCCTTCACAACACTCAGGACGCTTTACTGTCAGATTGAAGCTGGAACTGCCACCCAGACATTGCAGGCAGCTGAGGGCACAGGGGGTTTCCGGGTACCTCATAGTAGGCCAGGAAGCCTGAAGACTCTGTGATGGGTCCAGCAGCTCCAGGGCCATAGGCAGGGGCCCCCACGGTGGTTTCTGCAGAGGCCAGTGTGAAGGAGCGCCCATACGTGGGGATGCCCATGACCACCTTCTCTGAGGGCATTCCCTTACGTATCCAGTACCCCACAGCATATTCCTAGAATGGAAAGAGAGATAGTGGCTCAGAGTGTGAGGAAAGCAAGGTGTCAGGCCTTTTTTAGCCTCTATCCCAAACTTCACAAAGGTGACTGCTTGGTTTCTTTTCTATATCCGAGTGTGAACAGACCCAACCCCGCAGGACCAGAGTGCTTGTTCTAATGCACGTATGCTCCTTAGCCAAAAGGCTTATGCATCTTTTTCTAATTTCTGAAAGGAATTAGACAGTGGATCACTAAAGAAATGAGTCAAGAAACCTCAAAAACATGAAATCAAGACCGTCACCATCTTCCTTTGCCTTTGGAGTCAACTCAAAATCCCTATGGAATTTGTCTACATGATGGCTCATTGTGAATAGTGACAAACATGGCTGTCCATGAGGCCTCACAATGACCTTGGACCCAATGGGACATGTCAACATAAAGAGTCAAACTCTGTAAAATATTTGAAGAGATTTATTCTGATCCAAATATGAGTGATACATGGCCCACGACACAGCCCTCAGGAGATGCTGAGAACATGTGCCTGAGGTGGTCAGGGTACAGCTTGATTTCATACATTTCAGGGAGACATAAGACATCAATCAATACATGTAAGATGTACTCTGCTTCACTCCAGAAATGCAGGACAACCAGAAGCGAGGGCTTCTAGGTCATAGGAGAACTCAAAGATCTTTTGACTGGCAATTGAAGGAGTTATTATCTAAAGGCCTGAGGTCAATAGAAAGGAATATCTGGGTTATGATAAGCCGGTGTGGAGACCAATGTTTTATCATGCAGGTAAAGGCTCCAGGTAGCAGGCTTCAGAGAGACTAGATTGTAAATGTTTCTGGTCTCTGTGTTGGTGTTAATGCTGGTCAGCTGTGAGGCATGTCCGACACCCCACTTCCCATCATGACCTGAGTTGATTTTTCAGGTTGACCTTGGACTGCCCTTGGCCAAGAGGAAGGATTTGTTTGGAGGGCTTAGAATTTTATTTTTGGTTTATAGACAGATTGGGAGGTAAGAGGCTAGTTTTGGTTTTCCTGCTCTCAGAACAAAATAAGGGATTAGAGAAGACAAAAACATGTCTCCCCATCCTTAAAGATAGCTGGCAGAGAGCAAGGAGTGAAGGAGGCTGATGTGACTTAGCCCCATGAAGGCCTGGAAAACCCCAACCAGAAATCAGGAGATCTAGCTCTGGACTGATCCATTTTGTAACTTTGAATATGAAGGCCTGGAGACATGCAACACAGATGTTTTTCCCTGTTTTTCCCCCAGAATTTTAGAAATATACATCCATATATATGAAACAGCCTTTGCAAAAATTGTAACTGAGAACATTATGCCAGTGAAAGAGATCTGACCTAACTGACTCCATCTTTCTGCTGATCTCCAAGCTGTCCTTGCTCATTCCTGGGTGTAAGTCCAACTCAATTTGGGAGGAATTTAGTCTATAGCAGGCGTCTCCAAACTTTTTACACAGGGGGCCAGTTCACTGTCCCTCAGACCGTTGGAGGGCTGCCACATACTGTGCTCCTCTCACTGACCACCAATGAAAGAGTTGCCCCTTCCTGAAGTGCGGTGGGGGGCTGGATAAATGGCCTCAGGGGGCCGCATGCGGCCCAAGGGCCATAGTTTGGGGATGCCTGGTCTACAGTTTAGCTTTGAAGCAAAGACGATTATCAGTCCTTTTTGGAAACAAGCTCTCCTCTTGCCTAGAGATCAGTCTGCCTTTGTAGAACTAACAAATTAGCCACGAGATTAGAAGTTATGGTTTAGGACTCATGCAGCCAAAGGCTGCAAGATTCCAAACCTCCCCAAATTGCAGCTGGAAATAACATCACTGCTGCAAAAGCTAAGATCAATGCTTGAGATATTTTGTAGATCTTGCATTCTGATGTGCCTGCTGACACCACCCAGACCCAAGAATCTGGCTCAACCGGTTCTGTGATTCCTCCCAAGAACAGAAGACAGCAAGAAAAACCTACTTTGAACTCCTGTGATTTCATCTTCAACCTGACCAATCAGCACTCCCCACCTTCTGACCCCCATCCACCAAATTATCCTTAAAAACTCTGATTCCTGAATTTTTAGGGAGCCTGATTTGAGTAATACTAAAATTCCAGTCTCCCATACAGCTGACTCTGCATGACTTAAACTCTTTCTCTATTGCAATTCCCCTATATTGATAAATCAGCTCTGTCTATGCAGTGGGCAAGGACAACCCATTGGGTAGATACATTTTGTTCCAGAACAACATCAACAACATTTTTTTTTTCACTTTTCATTTCCCACCACCAGGATCTTCACATCATACAACCCTGAAGAGTCAATGGAATCTGCCAAGCTTCTATTTCATCATCCATGAAGTGGGAGTAATAATTCCTACCCAGCTGACCTCAAGGTGTTGTTTTGAAGATAGAATTAAATAGGGAATACAGATGGACACAGGAAGGTACAAGTTCTATACACCTGTGTAGGTGCCAAGGAATGTATCAAAGATGGAAAATCCAGAGAAGACCGGGATGGAGGCACTCTCAGCCAGAGAAAGAGCTCAGGGCACTTCAGCTGTCAGCACTTCTGACATTTTCCAGGTGATATTTTATTGGTGCCTGGTTAAAGCACTTCTCCTGCACTCACTTGCTCCTGGGGCCACCCACATCCCTCCTGGGCCCATGGATCTTCCTCAGTTCAAGACAGAAGTAACTCTAGACATGCTGGACTTTCCCCGGTGCCCCACGTCCACAGCTGGTGCCCCTGTGGTTCCCCTGGTCCACTCACCACATTGTAGTAGGAGCTTGGCCCTCTGTCCCGCCACCCCTTGCTCAGAGGGCTGTTGTGGCCGGTGATGAGGGGCTTTTCCCAAGACCCATGGAAATCGAAGGACAGGATGTTGATGAAATCCAGATCTCTAGAGTGCCAAAAGCAAATGGAGAGATTTTGTGATGAGCAGTGGTAGAAACAACTGGAAGTAATTGTTTTGGCTTTGAATGATGCTGCTAGATGGATTGAAAGTCTTTGGAAAGTTGTTCCTGACTGAATGATGCAGGCTTAGGACGGTGACCTTCCTTTTCTTCCTCCTCCTCTCATCCCTCAAACATGCTGATGCATCATTTGCAAGTTGGAAGCAGAGGGATGGAAAGTCGCTCTGATGTACTCACTTTGCCAGTTTCTCAATCTGATAGCTGTTATCAATCATTTGCCTCCCTGCAGATACACCTGCAGTCAAGAGAAGCCTTTCCTTGGTAGATTTTGTGATGTCCTTCTGAAAGGCTTCTGCTAACTCCTAGGGAAAACAGGGAAACAAAGTGTTAGATTTCCCTTCCTAGAGTACAGCACTAAGCTTCTTGCCTGGAATCTATGAGGTTTCTGGAACCACATTAGGTGGAAAAGATCAATCCTTTCCTCTCCATCCCACATGGGATGCCTTGTGCCTGTATCTGCTCAGGAAGTTTCCACATTAGGCAGGAGGATCCCAGCCTCACTGTACCCAGGAAATAACTGTCTTGATTTCTACCTGATAGATTTTCTGATCTACCTGATAGATCTTCTATGAGGCTACCTCGGTACCCAGGAAATCCTATGGCTCCACACTCTTTTTTATGGATGTTGCTTTATTTTGATGATCTTCATCAAAAAGAATATCAAAATAAATATATAAGGGGGCTCCATTGTTTCATATTGTTCCTGCCTTAAGCAAGGAACAGGGGCTTTTCTCCCATTAGTGGGGGCTTCAGAAAGGCTGGGACTGCCTACCAGACTCAACCTCTTCTTTTTTCTCTTCCAGTGTGTCTGTGGCTTCTGCATGTCAGAGTACTGAGTACACCATGGTGTCTGACTTACATGAATCAGCGCAGTGAAATGAGTGCTGTCTTTCTGACCTGGGTAGATCCAGCTCACATCCAGTCCATCAAAGTTATGGTTCCTCAGAAACAGGATTACGGAGTTAATGAATTCCAAACGTGATGTAGAAGAATCCACCATGGGGTGGAACCTGGGAAGAAGCAATACAAGTGTCTTTTTCGAAAGGACAAGTAACACCCGCAGTGCAACACGGTTTTCGCAGAAATCCTGAAGTAGTCTTCTCTTCCCCAATATTTGCTTACAAGTTGTCTGTTCTAATGCTTTCCCCTTTTGAAGCAGATGAAAGAAGAAGGATTGTTGGGCCAGAATGTTCATCCAGCCAGGTAAAAGAAGATTGGGTTCTCTGCAGACCTTCCTGATAGTAACGGAGCTGCCTTTGACCAAACCTCAGGTGGGCCTCTCTGAGCCCTCTTCTCAGCCGGACCTCAGCCCTGGGCTTCTGTGTCTGTCTTTGCAGTGTCCAGTTTTAGCAAAAATCCTGCTAGGTCAGTTTAGCAAGAGAACCCCACCCCTGGTACCTGATCAACCTCACCTCCCCACCACCATCCCCCAGGTGATAGCTTAGCACTCTGGCCTCCTTTAGCAGGAATTCTGTTGAATCAGTTTAGCAAGAGTCCTCCCAGCCCTAATGCTTTCTCCTTACGATTTTCCATCCACTGATTTCCCGCAGCGTGCTCTTTGACTAATTTCCTCCCTTGCCTTTGCTATCCTTGGAATGGAACCCAGTACCATACTGAGGTCTTTTCCCCCCATTGCAGTATTTCCTGAATAAAATCTATTTTACTGCTTTAAATACTGTCCAGCTTTGGTTTAACACTTTACACCCTTGGAAAAGCAGTTTGCAGTGTGGTGGGCTTGGGGTCAGGAGAGCTAGATTCCAGTCCAGGTCAGAGTCCTTTCTGATGGCCACTTTGTCATTAACCTGCTCTCTGAGTTCCAGTCTGGCTACCTCTAAATTGGGACTGGGGGTCCTAATCCTGATTCACATGCCTCAATGGGGTAACATTTAGGGAAGTTCTAGGAAAAAGAACTGGACTCCAGTGACTTCATGGTCCCCAAACAAGCATCCCGGTCACAAACAGGCAATGCAGATCTCCCCACCCCCAGGATATCTGACGAAAAGCGAGCCTTGAAAGCAGCAGCTCCTCAAGTTTCATCCGAACCAGAATTCTGAAGCCACAAAGTTGATTCTCAGATGCCCACACCAATGGTACCAACAGCATTTAAAACCCAAAGCTGTAGATGAGAAACTGGTATTTTCTGGGCACATAACCTTTAAGTTGTATCACTTTTCACCTCTTACAATAGCTCCCACCCCCAGGCTTTCTAAGAGCCTTGAATGAATTAATTTTGTTTTATTCAATTTAATTGAGATTTTTAATTCCTGCATGTCTCTCAGCTTCAAAGTAGAAGAGATAGCAAGAAACTGGCCTGGTATCAGAAAACTATGGTGGAAATAGGTTTCTAGCTTTTCTCTTGCATTTGAAAGTGCTTACAATAATCAGAAAGCCATCGCACCTGAGCCTCTGGGCAAATGACTCTAATTTTAGGAGAGATGCCCATTCAATAGAAATTTACTAATTTGTTCCTCAGAAGCAAGTTTGTGTGTTTCACATACATAATTATTCTGCACAGCACCTGACACAAAGCCTGGCATTTACCTAATAATAACAATAATAATCATATAATAATAATTACGGCAACCATTGAGCCCTTATGCTAAACAGTTTGCTTGCATTGCCTGCGTTTACAACATCACCCTGAGGTAAATTCTGTTACTATTCTTATTGTATAGTTAAAGAAAACTGAGGCATATGGACATTGAAGAACTTGATGAAGTCACACGCCTTGCATGGGTCTAACGGGAAATCCAAACTAAACACGTCTATCTCCAAAGTTCTATTTTTAATCACTAAACTGGTAAACAATTACTTACTGAATGAATTTACTGAATGAATGAACGAAAGCGAGGATGAATGAATGAATGAAGACATTTTTATTTGTATCAAAACCTAAGCACGGTATTAGGAAGGAGAGAGAATTTGAGAATTAGAAAGATAGTTGCCATGGAAACCCATTCATACTGAAGGGTGTTCATGGAGGGGTTAACACAGAACCAAAAAAGTTAGGTAGCCTGATCTTTCTTCCTTCTTTCTGTGTGCAGAAATCTACATAGGTCTTCTAACCCCTGCTTCTTCTCTATGCCGACTCCAGCTGTAACTGAGCACTGACAAGTTGCTCAAGTGGTATTGTCAGATTTCTGTAAAAACTGCAAGACTCTCCTAGCCGAGTGTAAGATCTCTGGATTTTTTAAGATGCTAGCACTTTAAATAATAAAGCAGAAGAAATTCAAAATTAGATAAATTCTAGTTGAAGATTGAAAAAATGTGATTTTTATCCTTATGTATTTTCATTTAGCTCTTGATGTAAGTGGGATATCATTTTCATGTGAATAGAAAATATGATTTAGAATGTGTGCTTTGTATCAGTAGCTATTTTGGTTTTAAGCAAAGCAGAACCGATAGTCTCCTCTGCTGCTCTGATGGTGCTCAGGCCATCTGGCTGCGCAGCCAGGACCCCAGACATTGTAGTCCGCTGACTGCTATGGGCCAAGGTGGGGCTTCTCAGAGGAAGCAACCCACCCAACCCACCCTGGGGTGCAAAGTCAAACCCTCTAGTGGTTAAAAAAATTGCACTTTCCAATTAAAACTATCTCTACAATCCATTAAGTGGAAAACGTTCTGTAAATAATTAAGAATTTTTAGAGTATTATTCATGGCCTACTTTTTCGCAAGCCTTGAGTGTCTGGGCCTGTGTTAAGCTCTGAGAGAATTCCTTCAAAGACCCCAGGAAGCTGAATGCTGTGCCTCTGCTTGTGAGAAAACTCAGATCAGTTTTGCCACCTGGCCAAGGGAAAATGTCTTAAAGCCTAGTCCAGTATCTCTTCTCAGGAGGAGGAAAAGTGGTGATGATCAGAAATTACGTGGGAAAATGAACAAAAAATAAAGATGTGGTCTTACCCTTTGGAACCAAACAGGTATCCTCCAATGGACAAGAGAATTTTCAGTTTGGGATTCCTGAAGTAGAAGAAAAAGATGATTATTGCTTTTCTGGCTGCCAGGGAAGCCTTTGTCTAAAGAACAGAGTTCTTAAGTGTAGAGAATATGGACAAATAGGGCCTGGATGTTGGAACCAAAGCAAAGTTCAGTGAAGCATTGGTGACAAAAACAGTTAGGATCAGAAATACACCCAGAGAAATACATAGGAATGGATGAATGAATGAATGAACGAATGAACGAATGAGATAGTAGGTCTTAGGCCCAGCTTAAGACCAACATCCTTCCCTAAAGCCCGTGCAGTATGTTTCCACCTCCATCTTACTGACTTGGTTTTGAGACTGTTGATAGTCTGGTAGAGCATCGCTTCACTCTTGTCCTTGATGATAACCTTGTTGTTCCTGATGCTGGCGAACGAGTAGATGAGGTGAGAGCATAGGAAGGGGTCAATGTTCTCTGGGGTGAATCTTCCTGGTTCCTGCCGGTCCTGGGACCAGTTGGTAAAGTAGCATACCAGCTTGTAGGCAGATCCTGGAGTTGAGTGAATAGACCCAATGAGATTCTAGTGCTGGTGCCTTAGAGCCCAGAAAGCCACAAGTTTCTCCTCAAGACAGCCATTGCATCATCCGCCCATTCTGCCAGAGCCTCTGAGGGTCATTCAGCCTGGGCCTTCAGTGCTCGTTCTGAAGTACCCAGACCCCAGTTGAGAAATACATTGAGTCTGGGCACAGGGGCTCAAACCTGTTATCCCAGCAGTTTGGGAGGCTGAGGCAGGAGGATCGCTTGAGCCCAGGAGTTCAAGACCAGCTCTGGCAACATAGCAAAACCCCATCTCTACAAAAAATTTAAAAATTAGCCGGGTGTAGTGGTGCACACCTGTAGTCTCAGCTACTCAGGAGGCTGAGGTGGGAGGAGTGCTTGAGCCTGGGAGCTCGAGGCTGCAGTGAGCCATGGTCATGCCACTGCACTCCAGCCTGGACCATACAGTGAGACCCTGTCTCAAAAAAATAAAAAGAACTACACTGAGAGACAGATATACCATCCACATATGAAATACCCACAGAGCACTAAGCTTCAGTGTGTATGGATGGATGGAGGACACAGATCAGCAGAGAAACAGATAATATGTACGTTGTGTATGCGGGTATTCATGCACACATATTGAGGCCAGGTATGGGAGTGGGGTGAGAGAGAGAATGGCTCAAAAAGACAGAACTAGAACAAGGGACACACAAAAAGATACACAGAACAAAAACTCAGTGTCATAAATATGTCAGTGGCAGAACCTGAGACAGTAATCAAGAGAAAAAGCATGTAGCAGAGAAAGAAAATGGACATCAAAAATGAGGCCGGGCGCGGTGGCTCAAGCCTGTAATCCCAGCACTTTGGGAGGCCGAGGCGGGTGGATCACAAGGTCAAGAGATCGAGACCATCCTGGTCAACATGGTGAAACCCCCTCTCTACTAAAAATACAAAAAAGTAGCTGGGCGTGGTGGCACATGCCTGTAATCCAAGCTACTCAGGAGGCTGAGGCAGGAGAATTGCCTGAACCCAGGAGGCAGAGGTTGCGGTGAGCCGAGATCGTGCCATTGCACTCCAGCCTGGGTAACAAGAGCGAAACTCTGTCTCAAAAAAAAAAAAAAAAAAAAAAAAAAAAATGAAAGCACCCAAGCCAGGAGACCCAGGCAGTAGTGACTTATGGATTACTTACCTCCCTGGAGAAGCAGCAGGACCACTAGACCTGCAAAAGACGGGTGGAAAGAGAAATCCGTTGAGCCAAACCTGGTTCTGCTGTCCCAGATGATGGCAGTGAAAATGTGGCTGTGCCCGCATACGAGATAGAGCCACACTTCATCTGGGCTCTTCAGCCACAGCTGCTGTGGTTCTTTTACAGGACCTGAGGTCCCCAGCCCTGGGGTGCCTTATAGTCTCTATATCCCTAGGCAGAAACATTTTCCAACCTGGGAATTTATTTTTCCATTCATTTATCCAACAAAGTTCTATTAAATCATATGCTCTGTGGCAAGCATTGCTCAGAACACTGGAGAAGCTACAGTGCATTAATGCCTTCCTTGCACTCAAGGAGCTCATGGTCTACACTGGAGTTGAATATAGGTAGTGTGACCACATAGTTTATTGTCCAATGAGACCCTTAGGAGAGTGAAAAGGAGCATTAATAATTTCCCTGGGACAACAGCTTGAACCAGAACTGTCTCAGGCAAATTGAGATGAATGGTCACTCTATGCACAAACAATTAACTCTTACAACAAGGTAAGATGAGTTGAGCAGTGTGAGCTGGCCCTGGAAGTGCTCTAAACTTACATGTTTGAGATTATGCCCAGGCTTTCTCCATAGGATGCCTACCCTAGGAAGACTGGTGAGATTATTCTGTCCTGAACACATCCTCCTAAAGGAAAGAAAGAGCAGCCTGCTGGATCCTAGACACTTTGCCCACTGGACAAGACTCCTGGAACAGCAATCCCCCCAGCCTGAACATACTGTCCACACTGGAACCCTTGGGGTCTGAAAGTGAAGAAAGGGGCAGTCAAAAAGGAGAGAAAACTTTGAATGACACAGCTGCTGGAGCTGATTCCTCCCCTGCAGAGCTTAGGGCTGGAAAACAGGGCTCTACTGTTCTCTCCTGATGATTCACGTGTTTTTTAGGCAGGGAATGTAGGAACCTGGTTCTGCACACACCCGCTAAGTAAACGGCCGGAGAAACTGTTTGGCACATGCATTGTCAGGCCAGCCTCCAGGCCCTTCTCCAAAGGGTCCCCTCCCTGCTGGCTGACCTGTTGAGGGTCCCGGGCTAAGCTAAGCTCAACAGGAAACTCAAAAGGCTCTGACCAAGGGCCCGTCATAGCCTGAAAGGCTAAGACAGGATAAAAGAGGTATGGACACAAAGCAATGGATTCTTTCCTCCAGCAGACATACTCCTCCCTCCCCTCCTGGTAAATATCCCTCGTTCACCCACAGCCCTATTTCCTCAGCCTCATCCCCACTCTCATCCCGATTCCCAGCCACCACAAAAGCCAGAGTTTTGGATCAGAACTGTAGAGTTGAAAGGGAGAGTTTAGAAAACACTTAATTCAGTAAACCATTCTGCAGATGAGAAACATGGGGCTTTCCAGAAGTTTTAAAATGTAACCACAGCATAGCCCATGAAAGATGTGACTCCTAATACAACGCTCATACACCGAGGGACTAAGAAAGTCTGGCCTCTTTCCTGTCTCCTGACTCTGGTTCTAATGTGGACAAGAAGCGCTTCTGTGCAAACTGAAAACATCCCACTGGTGCAAAGCGCTCTGGCTACTGCTGCCTTCTTTCCCATTCAGGAAGGATCAGGAGGTTCCCCTGCGAAAGCTGCATTAACTTGAGATTTTTTGACACTAAGGTCAACAGAGAGACTGCAGTCCCCTGAAAGAAGGAAGATCACTTCTTCTACAAACCTATTATCCCTTCCCTCCTCACCAGCTTTCCTTCTGAATTATCAACCCCCTGCTTACCTGCCCAGAGAGACTTCTGGTTCATGGTGATTGCTCTCATATCCTCAGCCAGCTTCCCCTGGGATGTATGTTCCCTGGGTCTTTTATCTTCTGAGGTTTCAACAGCCTGTCCCACAGGAAAGAAGCAAGAAATCCAGGAGATTCTAGGGACTTCCCCTGGCAGACTTGTGAAACTTCTCGGCAATGAAGCCCAGATTTGAGCAATGCCAACTCTGACCTGTGGGAAATGAGTTGGGAATACAGCTGCTGAAGAGCCCTTTTCATGTAATCCCACCTGAAAGGGACCCGGTCCTGGAGAAGGGAAGATGATACTCAGGCTGTGCTCCCTGGTATTAACCTCGACCCTGAATCTCCTTCCTCCTCATCCCAATCTGTCTCCTTCTTCTTGTCCCCACCTCTCTCTGTGCTCACACCACTTCTGGCCTGCTTCTTATTATTATTATTATTATTATTATTAGAAATAGGGTCTTGCTCTTGCTCCGTCACCCTGGCTAGAGTGCAGCGGCACAATCATGGCTCACTGCAGCCTCAACCTCCTGGGCCCAAGGGATCTTCCCAGTTTAGCATTCAGAGTAGCTGGAACCACAGGTGTGCACCACTACACCTTGTTAATTTTAAAAAAATTGGAGAGGCAGGATCTCACTACATTATACCCTGGCTGGTCTTGAATTCCTGGGCTCAAGTGATCTTCCTGCCTTGGCCTCCCAATGTGCTGAGATTACAGGCAGGAGCCGCCTCGGCCTACAACAGCTATTGTTTACCAGTCACCGCCAATGGCACCTTCTCTGTAGCTCTTCCCACTCCACCCCCGCCCCCCCCCCCACAGCTGGGACTGGCTGGCACCTCTGCCCACAGTGCATCCTATTTCCTTTCATTCCTTCATACCGTATTGTGTGACTGTATCGGTGCCTATGTCTGTCTCCCCAATTCCACTGTGCAGTTCTTAGGTAAAAGACGTATGAAAAGCAAAAATTAGTCAGGCGTAATGGCACATGCTGATAATCCCAGCTACTTGGGAGGCTGAGGTGGGAGGATCACCTGAGCCCCAGAAGTTGAGGGTGCGGTAAGCTGTGATCACACCACTGCGCCACTGCAGTCTAGCCTGGGTGACAGAGTAAGACTCTATTAAAAAAAAAATTATGTGAAACACAAAACCGAAAACCTCAACAAATGTTTGTTCGGGATCCTGCCTTAGCCTGTGAGAAGAGACTTGCACTCAATTCAAAGGCTCAGATCCTCGGGGCCCTGCACATCTGCTCCCTACCTATCTCCCAGTGCCCTTTTCATAACTGGTTCCTCCGTGCCACCCAAAATTTACATGTTGAAGCCCTAATTCCTAGTGTGATGTCATATGAATAAGGTAGCATTAAGGGTAATTAGATCATTAGGGTAGAGCCCTTATGAATGAGATTAGTACTCTTACAAGAAAAGGCACAAAAGAGATGATCTCTCTGTCTACCATGTGAGCAGACAGCAAGTAGGTGGCCTACAGCAGGCCAGGAAGAGGGCCACCACCAGACACCTCATCTGTGTGCAGCTTGGTTTTAAACTTCCCAGCCTCCAGACTGTGAAAAATAGACGTTTGTTGTTGAAGTCACCCAGTCTACGGTATTTTCTTATAGCTGCCTGACCTAAGACATCCACCTACTCAGTTCTCAAGGTCTCCAGAAAGCTGCAGAAACTTCAGTGTGAAAACAGCTCAGCCCACTGAGAGGGTGCCAAGTCAGTGATGTGGAAAGCTCTAATTTTGTTCTTGTTTCTTTGTTGATAATAAATATAATATAGGTTCATACTAAACTTCTTATGCATAGCAATGTATTCATTCTTCTTTCAAATTTAAAATAAGATTTAAGAAAGCACTCATGGGATTCTTTGTTAGTTTGAATTGAAGTCTTTTCATCTTATGGTAGGCATTTCCTGCCCTGCTGAAGGAGGTAAATGCAGCGTTTGATAAGTGTGCCTGTGAATTCACACTTGCTTGCATTGCTTTGCAAGTATCTACGTCTGTACGGATGACTAGATTGGCACTGGGAGTACACTAACGAAAGGCATTAATGTTTTATCCCCACTTGCCTGACATGATGCCTTATTACGTTGGTGGATGGAGAGATGTGTCTTCATTTTAATTCTAGAAAAGGATAAACTTGTCCCCCAAACTAAAAGAGAAAACTTAGTCAATCAGATTTTGACTTTCATGTTCAAGGTTATGGCAAGTGTTTGCAGATTTTCTTCTTAAACAAGTTTCCTTCCAGGCTTAAGCTATGGATTCTCTCCTAAGCAAAGTCTTCATCTGCTCCAGTGCCTCTTCCAACTCAAAACCTAATTTGGAGACATTCCTTACTAGACTCCTAATCTTTCGAAGTCACAAGAGATATTAGCATGTTCTTAACTCATGGAAGAGAAAGAGAATACGGGTGCAGGGGTTGGAGCCCCAGAAGGAAAAAATGGATTTCAATCCTTTAGCATCCAACAAGTACAACAAACACTTATAGAAAACCTACACCTTGTAATGAACTGATAAGAGCTTATAGAGCCCCTGTTTTATCTACCTCAAGAAACGTGTACTCTACTTGTGGAGACAAATGCATAAATACAGGTAAATATACTATTATGGGGAATGAAGAGCTGGCACCTCTGCCCTCAGCGCATCCTGTTTCCTTTCATTCCTTCACACTGTATTGTGTGACTGTTTCAGTGCCTGTGTCTGTCTCCCCATCTCCGACGTGCAGTTCTTAGGTAAAGGAAATATGAGAAGCAAAAATTCGCCAGGCATAGTGGCACATGCTGATAATCCCAGCTACTTGGGAGGCTGAGGTGGGAGGATCACTTGAACCCCAGAGGTTGAGACTTTGGTAAGCTGTGATCACACCACTGCACCACTGCAGTCTAGCCTGGGTGACAGAGCAAGACTCTACCTAAAAAAAAAAAGAAAGAAAGAAAGAAAGAAAGAAAAAGAATTACTTGAAACAAAAACGAAAACCTTAACAAATGTTTGTTCAGGATCCTGCCTTAGCCTGTGAGAACAGACTTGCACTTAGTTCAAAGGCTCAGATCCTCGGGGCCTTGCACATCTGCTCCCTACCTGTCTCCCAGTGCCTTTAAAAAAAAAAAAAAATAACTGGCTGCTAAATAAAGCATCGATCTTTAAAATATATAAAAGAAAATTAATTGAAAAGAATATGAATGGAGTGTTTACTCTTTGTCAGTCACTGCATAAATGCAATTTATACAGTAAACCAAATACGAACCACATATAATTCGATTCCAGCTTTCTGTTGACTTCTGTTTTAAGTCGAGGAGACAAACATGTAAACAGATTATTCCTTTTTTCCTCAAACTTGAAATTTAAAAAATGTAATTGTAGCAAATTTACATTGCAGCAAAACCCTAAGAATATTAAAATATATAAAGCAGAAAATGAAAGTACCTACTCATTCTTTAAAGAAACTACTGTTAACAATTTTGGTATGTATCTTCCCTAATCCCTTCTCTCTCTCTTTCTTTTTCTCTCTGTCTCCTCTGTCTTGACACACGCATACACACACACACTCTCTATTTCTCTCCCACTCTCAACAATTTATGGCAAAGCATCCTTTCACATAGTCAGAATAGAGAATATCAATTTATATGCCATTTGCAATGACTGCATCCCCCATTGATGGATATTTCAGTTGTTTTCAAATTTCACAGTCTCAGATAATTCCTCGATGATTTTGTATAAAAGACATGTATTGGCCAGGTGCGGTGGCTCAGGCCTATAATCTCAGCACTTTGGGAGGCCGAGACGGGTGGATCACGAGGTCATGAGATCGAGACCATCCTGGTCAACAAGGTGAAACCCCGTCTCTACTAAAAATACAAAAATTAGCTGGAAATGGTGGCGCGTGCCTGTGGTCCCAGCTACTCAGGAGGCTGAGGCAGGAGAATTGCCTGAACCCAGGAGGCGGAGGTTGCCGTGAGCCGAGTTCCGCCATTGAACTCCAGCCTGGGTAACAAGAGCGAAACTGTCTCAAAAAAAAAAAAAAAGATGTATTTACTATTCTACTACTCTTCAAATTGTGCTTCTTTGTGTACTCCTTCCAACTACATATGGGCATGCTTCTTACCCTCATTCTAGTAAACAATAAACAATGGCTGTTATTAGTCGATCTTTCATATTAAAATTTTGCCTTCTTATTTTAACTTACGTTAAAATTAAAGATTGAGCCAATACTTTTCTCCTTCTCTGAGTTGCCTGCCCATTTCTACTGGATTCTCCCCTTCTCTTTGGTATAGCTTTTTAGGAATTCTCTCTGGATTATGTAAATTAATCTATTATATTTATTGTAATTTTTATTTTTTTCCTTCCTATTGTATTTATATTGTTTTCATTATATAGTTTAAAAAATTTTGTACGTCTGCCAATCTTCATTTACAGCTTTTGCATCTAGCTCTGGAAAGACATATGTGAGAGGCAGGATAAAGGAGCAGATAATTAAACACAAACACCACAGTGGCACCAACAGAATGGAGGACTACAGAGAACGGAGGGGCCAAACTGCCCAGGTAGGGACCTGGCTGGCATCCTTTGAAAGCAAACTTTGAGAAGAGATTAGGAGGAGGATCTGGGCATTGCCATGAGAAGAATAGGAAACTCACAGGGAGACCAGCTGTAGTGAAGTTGGACCCCGTAACTCTGTGGCAGATGTGGGAACAAGTGTGACTGAGAGTGTAGGGATGTCATGGGAACCAAGATCACCAGTAGGGGGCTGGAAGCATGAGGATGCGAGAGGATGTCCATTTCTTGGCATATGAGGCCAGATTTAAATGCCACTCTCCAGTCACCTTGATTTGCAGGGGGCCTGTGAAGGCGGAGTCTAGCTCCGTTCTAAAACCCCAGGGAGAACTTGAATCCCTAAAGGTTGGAAAACTACTTATTAACCCGAGATAAGGTTAAAAATATGCTTTGGGGATTTGCTTAAGGGGAAATTCAGAACCCGGTTCTGCCACAGGGCGGAAATAACAGCGGCGGGTGGCCTTCTATTAGTCAGTGATGAGGAGGGGGCAGTCACCATCCAGAGACAGCCTGGACTCGGGTGGGAGCTTCCCTGGCAGAGGCATGGGGA